GGAGAATTTTAAAAACATTTTAAAAAAAAAAAAAAAAGTCGTTGGGCCCGTTAGGCCCGTCAGGACCGGCCCAGGCCCGGCTGACGGTCCCGGGCTAAACGGTCCCGGGCTCGTGGGCTAATATATGAAGACTAGCTCGTCACGGGCTTCTCAGGACCACCAGGACCGGCCCACCAGGCCCGTTAGGACCGTGGGCCCGGCCCGGTCCGGTTCAGGCCCGACCCACCAAGCAGCATTAGTACATTGAAGAATTTATGGCATTTGTCCGATGATCGCGAAATGAACCTCGACAGGGCAGCTATTCGTCCTGTTAATATTTGCACCTGCTACTTGCTGATCAATATCTCCAGTATTCCTTCGATGGCCCTAATCTGATCCGGGTTGACCTCGATACCCCTTTGTGACACTAGAAAACCAAGGAACTTTCCTGAAGTTACGGCAAACGCGCATTTTTCGGGATTTAGCTTCATCCCGTATTGCCTCAATATCTCGAAGGCTTCCTTCAGATGGTCAATGTGATCCTCTCTCTTTTTCGACTTTACTAGCATGTCATCGACGTAAACCTCCATGGTCTTACCGAGTTTCTCTTTGAACATCTTGGTGACTAACTTTTGATACGTCGCCCCTGCGTTCTTGAGTCCGAACGGCATTACCTTGTAGCAGTACGTTCCTCGGTGAGTGATGAAAGTGGTCTTTTCTTGGTCTTCTTTAGCCATTAGAATTTGGTTGTAACCAGAGTAAGCATCTAGGAAGCTCAGTAGTTCGTGTCCGCCGTTGCGTCGATGAGCTGGTCGATGTGTGGTAATGGAAAGGAATTTTTCGGGCATGCTTTGTTCAAGTCGGTGAAGTCGACACACATCCGCCATTTCCCGTTCTTCTTTTTGACCATGACCACATTAGCGACCCACTGGGGATATTTTGACTCTCGGATGGAACCGTTAGCGAGTAATTTATCAATCTCTTCGATGACCGCCTCATTGATAGCGGCATTGAACTTTCTCCTCATTTGCTGTACTAGCGGGTAAAGAGGATCGACATTCAGCCTGTGTGTGGTGATATCCCTTGGGATTCCTAGCATATCTTAATGGGAAAAGGCAAACAAATCGGCATTTGTTAGTTAAAAACTCACGATATTTACCTGGTTCTGAGAGGTTGTGTCCGATATAAGACTTTTTTGTGCTATCGATGTTTTCCAGTTGGACGGGGTTGAGGTCTTCTACAGTTGCCTTGCAAGCTTCTACGACATCCGAGTCATTGATGGCCTCTATTTGTACGTTGGGTTTGTTTCTCGATATGGTTGATTGCTATGCTTCCGCACTTGCCCCTTTTAGTTATTTGGTGCGTGTGCAATCTTGGGTGATCCGGTAGCATTCTTGGGCGGTGCGTTGCTCGCCTCAGATGCTAAATATCCCCCATGGGGTGGGAAATTTGATTACTTGATAGAAACTTGACGGGACGGCTCGCATGGCGTGTATCCATGGACGCCCTATGATGGCGTTGTAGGCTGTTTCCTGGTTCATGAAGTGAAACGTCGTCTCCAAGGTGTCTCCTCCTGTCAGGACGGGTAGCACTATCTCTCCAGAGGTTCTTTCCACTGCATTATTAAAACCCATCAGTGTTATGCAACGCGGTATTATTTTATCCTCGAGCCTCATCTGCATGAGAACTCGTGGGTGAACAATACACGTGCCGCTTTCGTCATACACCGTTATTCTCTTTATGTCAGTATCCGCGATGCGTAAAGTTATAACCAAAGCATCATAGTGAGGGAAAGACAAACCGTTGGCATCTGACTTATCGAAGATAATACTGTCTTCGAGGTCGTCATACCGTTCGTAAGCGACTGTCCGTTTGAGTTTGTGTGTGGTGGTGAATTTCACATGGTTGATTATCATATCGTCGCCGCCACCAATGATCATTTGTATGGTACAAGCTGGTGATGACGGTTTTGGAGGTCCTTGAGATTGATCGCGTCCACGAGTGAAGTTGGCCCGTCCTCGGTCGCTCCGCGGTTCTTTCAGGTATCCCTGATTTAGCATTCTTAGCACTTCCTACCGCATACCTATGCAGTCCTCGGTCTTGTGTCCCCTTTGGAATTCACACAGAACCTTCGATCTCCCGGTGCTTGGGTCCGACTTTATCTTTTGCGGCCACTGCACCTTTGTGCCGAGCTTTTCCAGTGCGTACACTATTTCTGAAGGAGAAACACAAAAGTTATGAGCATATAACAGTGGAGGCATACCTCTTTCGCCTCGGGGTGGTGCGATGTGTCGAGGCGCGACATCTGTATGTCATGTAGGAGGTGGGTTGGATGTTCGGACATAGGGTTGGTGCCTTTCTCGGTTGAAACGTGGTAGTTGATCCCTTCGGCCGTCGTTGCGGCGATCTTTCCTTGTCTCAATTTGGACCGAGGTTAGTCACTGGCTCGGGCCGGTCAGGTCATCCTCGTCTGCCCTCACTTCGGCGCAATAGGAATTATGGACCTCTTCCCACGTGGTGGTGGTGGGGGGGATGAGTCTACTTAGCAGCTTCTTGGTTGCTTTTGACCCGATTCTGTTCAACCCATTTTGAAAAGCCGCTACCGCCATCCCTTCTGACATGTTCGATAGGCTCATCCTTACCCTGTTGAATCGGGCTAGGAAATCCCGAAGTCCCTCGTCTGTCGTTTGCCTAACGACGAAGATATCATTTACCCTGGCCTCTGCCTTTTTTTCTCCCGCGTGAGTGGTGACGAACTTATCTGCCATTTCTTCAAACGTTGATATTGATCGTGCTGGTAGTTGAGAATACCATGTCAACGCTCCTTCTGTCAGAGTTTCGCCGAACTTTTTCAGCAGTACTGACGACACCTGTTCTTTTGATAGATCGTTACCTTTTACTGCAGTAACGTAATGGATTAAGTGCTCCTCCGGGTTTGTGGTGCCATCATATACTTTCAGATATGGCGGCATTTTGAAGGTTTTTGGAATAGAGTGGGGAGCTACCCCTTCGCTGTATGGTTGTTCGACGAATCAGCCCACGTCACATTTTGGTAGCAACTTCGGAGCGCCCGGTATTTTATCAACCCTTTCCTGATGCTCTTTTATCTGGTCGCGGAGTGTTTTGTTCTCATTTTCCATCTCTCCCATTTTCTTTAAGATGGCTACAAGTGCATCATTGCCTGCATCAGCGACAGTATGGGTGTTACCTGTTAGTGTAGTTTCTGGCTCATCGGCGACAGTTGCAGTTTCTGCGGGTAATGTGNGGGAAGGGGGGTGAGATCTCTCCCTCAAGTGTAGCACTTGGTATTACATTTTTGTTGTCTTCTCCACTGGCTTCATTGAGGGAAGTCAGGAGGTTGTCCTACTATTGCCTTTAGCCTTACTTCTCCCTTTCCTGCCATTGTTGGCCTTTGAGATACTAAAAAGAGGTGATTATTTCTTTCAAGAATCTAGATGAAACTAAGGTCTCGGCTATAGAAATCCCCACAGACGACGCCAAATTGTTTGTTTCAAAAGATATCGGAACCTTTTTGAACAAATCAATCAAAGAAGATAAAGAGGTAAATCTTAGCTAAGTATAATAATCTCTAGAATGAAAGATAAATAAGATGAATACGGATGATAAAAATTCCTTATCTCGTTTGGACCAAAAAAGAAACCTTCAACAATAATCTTCTCAATCCTTTATGTAAGCAAGTTTACAGTAAGTATTATGGATTAGCCAAAAAAGTCCCCTTACAAAGTTGTTTCATGCTCTATATATAAGGAACCCAACCTTTCTGATCCCTAAAAGGCAAGTTACAGGGAATATTCGAAAGAATATTCCCGATGTCCCCTAATGGACCTGCACTACTACAAAGGTCGTGCCGCCTCTTGTTCGCCTTAAGGTTGCCCTCTGCAAGATGTCGAGCTGTGAGGATCTCGTTGTTCGTCGTGCTCATCAACGGTCATGTTTGTTCAAATTTGAACCCATACAAGTTGAATTCTTCAAATTTTGAAAAACAAAATGGAAAAAAGCACAAGAATTATGACAAAGAATAGTAAATACTTATTTAAAAAAAGAAGAAAGATTCATGAAACTTGTAATTTAAAATATATATATATATGTGTGGTTACAATATTATCTTATTAACACTCTGTTTAGATCATTGTTACCCATCGTTTTGTAATGTATCATATGGTATCGTTTTATGAATATAATGCTTGGATATAATGTGTTATTTGTTGTTGTTAAATAATATTTTGCTATTTGGTTTGACTGTATCGTATTGTACTGTAATGGATAAGTTAACTAAAATACCTTCAATTGTTTAAATTTATCAGGAACTATGCATAAAAATAATTTAAGAAAATTCTTTCTACTAATTTATCACCAAATTTGTCTTATAAATAGATTAAGCAATTAAATTCATGCAAATTCTAACAAAATTAGTGGAACAAGTTAATAATTTTAAAAACAATAATAAGTACACTCTATTCCTTTTTAGATCATAATAATAATGATAAAAAAAATAAAATGTTAAAGAACTATGATAAAGAAAGGAACGAGAATTGGCAGAACAAAGATAATTAAAATTGGAGATAAAATCAAATTAGGAGAAAAAGCTAAACAAAATAAGACAAAACACCTTTGACGTTATAGTTGGAAGCGGCAGAAGTTCTGGAAAAAAAAGGGACGAAGACAAAGTAGGTTATTGGTTGGAGATATAGAATAAAAAAAAAAAGAGGNTTAATTGGTTAATTATAAGACCATATGTCTACTCTACAATATAGCATGACTCATTGTTGCAGTGAAGAAGTTATAGGAAGGCATAAACAAAAATGTCTTAGGATACGTTCTTCTAACACATTATTTAACACTTGTGGCTGCATAATTTATATTCTTGATGATTTTTTTAATATTCCACTATAGTCCAATGTAGTCATTGGGATGCAGATTCACTGTTTTAATCTTCCTAATGTTCTGTGTCTTTCTCCTTCCTTATTGATGCAAAAGTCTGTCCTTCCTTAGATTTCTACTAAGTTTGAAACAACTGATAGCGCACACAGTTTCTGCCGTGAATGCTCCTAACTCTTGAAGTCTCTTTGCTTCTATTTAAGCAAATGCGAGAAAAGGCTGTACCTTTGCTCTTTAGACTTCCTAATTTTCCCCCCTTCCATAGAGCACAAATATATGTATGATACACTGAGAGGAGAGAGATGGTTTGTCCTACATGGACCTCCAAATGTGTTGGCCCGTCATGACCTATAATGATTGAAGGTGTTAAAAGAGAACAAGGTAGATCTAAAATCACATGAAAAGAAGTTGTCTCAAAAAACCTGCAATCCTAGTGAAATTGGTTAAGAACATAACACAGTGGAAGCACTGGATTCATACATGATACCAATTTGTTTGGGTTAAGGCTTAGTCGTTGTTGGAATGCTTACATTAGGTTCAGTTTTTGCCCATAATCTTTTTAGAGATTTGTATGTTAGAGTGAGGAGAAGCTTCTAGTTTTAGTAACTCCATAACAACAACAATAACCCAATAAAATCCCACAAAGTGGGGTCTGGGGAGGGTAGTGTGTACGCAGACCTTACCCCTACCCCGATGGGGCAAAGAGACTGTTTCCGATACATCCTCGACTCAGGAAGACGGAAATAAAACAAGAAACGACAATTCATCAGTAACGTCAGCAGAAACCATAGAAATAGTAATAAAAGTATAAAAACCATAAAATAGATGACATGCAATAACAATAACCAGTAATGAAGGCCCGGGGCTATGATAAATAGAGGGCTATGATAAACAGAAAGGATAGTGTGGACTCAACATTAACCCTTAACCGTTTAAGATCAACCCTATCAAACCCGCCTCACCCCCTGGTATGAAGTAGAAAAAGCTCGACTACCCCCTAGCCTACACCTCTAATGCTTGACCTCCAGACCTTCCTATCAAGGGTCATGACCTTGGAAATCTGCAGTCGTGCTATGTCCTGCCCGATCACCTCACCCCAATACTTCTTAGGTCGCCCTCTACCTCTTCTCGTACCCACCAAAGCCAACCGCTCACACCTCCTCACCGGAGCATCAAGGCTCTCCTCTGCACGTGCCCGAACATCTGACTCTCGCTTCCCGCATCTTGTCATCCACAGGGGCTACGCCCACCTTCTCCCGAATATCCTCATTCCTAATCTTATCCGTTCTAGTGTGCCCGCACATCCACCTCAACATCCTCATCTCTGCTACCTTCATCTTCTGGATATGAGAGTTCTTGACCGGCTAACACTTTGTCCCATACAACATGGACGGTCTAACCACAACTCTATAAAACTTACCTTTGAGTATCGGTGACACTTTTTTGTCACACAAGACTCTAGATGCTAGCCTCCATTTCATCCGGCCCCTATATGGTGAGTGACGTCCTCATCGATCTCTCTGTCCCCCTGGATAACCGACCCAAGATACTTGAAACTGCCTCTCTTGGGGATGACCTGTGATCCAAGCCTCACGTCCCTGCCTACTTCATAAATTATTAAATATAGAGGATCATTGTTGACCTTAACTAGTTTGAGTTGAGGCATATTTGTGGTTTCATAGAGAACTGCATAAGACCTCCATCCCAAAAAGAACTGCATTCGGCCTAAAATGTCAGCTAATTCCTTGGTAAATACTCTAGTTCTAATTAATATATGGTTTGTAGAAGAGTGCCTTGTCAATTGTCATGTGCTAAGTCATTGGATCTTAATGTCTTCTTTACGGATTGTAATTGCAAGGATCTGTGATGTGCTTCATATTGCTTAAAACAAACAAGAAACATGACCTACACTATGTTAGGCATGTTATTCCGAAGCTTCCTTATGCTTACCCACTTAGGCTCTCACTGTTGTTTCCAAGAGCACCTTCAGTTTTTGATATGCAAATTTCCTTCCATTTTTGTAGGGCATCTGAATCTGATTTTCTGATTTTCTGCTACATTCTCTTCAAAGTAAATGGATAAACAAAAATGTGATTTGAAGCGCTTCTCTAAAATGCTTAAAGTTTTATTGTATTCAAATGTTGTATACTTTTTAGCAGTTTCATATCGATTCTCTTATTAGGCGTCCGGAACCAAAATGATGCTATAAACTACTTTAATCGCGAAAATGAGTTGCCAAAACTAAACTGAACATTAATAGGATTATTGCAGTTAAAACCGAGATATTTAGGCCCTAGTTCACGGAGTCCTGAAGCAAAATAATGCAACACGAAAAGGGGTTGTCACTAATCTGAACATTAATGGGTAGCATCATTTTGGTTCCAGACTCCTCTTATTAGAATAACAATTTGAAAATGGCTTGTATTCTTGCTTGAGGTGATAATCCTATGCTTACTGTGTGAATGAGGTAATATCTTGTTTTCTCGTTCCATAATAGTTCTACTTGTGATGCCCTTTATAGTCTAATAGTTTTTTCCCTTCTCTCCATTTCTCTTGATGTGGGGGGTATCTAGGTTCCAAAGGGGCATGTTTGGATTCAGGGAGATAATATTTATGCTTCCAAGGATTCACGGCAACTCGGGCCAATCCCTTATGGTCTCATCCTGGGAAAAGTGTTGTGTAGAGTAAGTTTCATTACCTTTACTATCTAAGCAGGGATGAACTTATAATTCCTGCGTAGTTCTATTTATATAGTTTCTAAAGCTTGCAATTTTTTTCCGATGAATTAATAGTTTATTGTTTTTCTGGGGAAAAACTACGAATGCAAGAGGTATAACAAACGGTAGAGAACCTTTCACAAAATAAAATGTACAAATGTTAGTCCTATGAAGAATAAACCAGCATTGATTACTTGGCCTGGCAATTGATGATTGCTACTTTTTTTGGTTTAAGGTATTTTGCCATCTATGTTAGCGCAAACTCTTCATTTTAGCTGCCGCACCCATGTCTATACGACACTGGTACTCGTAAGAGTGTGGGATTCGTACTGGATGTGGTCAATGGAGATCGAGTACTTTGAACACAATCTATGGACAAATTTGACAAAAAATGAGAAACGGAGGATTGGATTTTAACTGCTTACTAGTGCCTAGTGCCTACAACTTGAGATATTCTCAAAATGAAAGATTGAATTATTGGCTGCATTCTATAACCTATAAGTTTTCGGCACAATATCTCTTATAACTTCGGATATTTTTATAGATCTATTTAGAATTTAGAATTATTTTTAGCCGAATCTCTGCACCCTTATCCGTACCGGGATCCTTATCCTCGAATCTTGAAATTTAAATTATGAAGGATCCGACCTTTAGATCTACACGCGGATCGGATACCCGCACCCGAGTGCGAGCAACATAGGGAATATTGTTTGCCCGTAAATTCACTTTATAATGGGACACTAGCCAATAGCTTAGGCACGTTTTACCCTACTAACACCAAGTTCATATGCAATTGCAGTTTGTCTGTCTTTACATCCCAACCAAGATAAGAGCTGCCGTATTCTTATTATAACCATTGTCTACTTTGTAGTCTTTTGATTTGATTATATTATGGTTACTTGCCTTTAATTAGATAACTTCTTCGTGCCAATTCATCCACTCACATCAAATATTCATATCGGTACTTGGGCATTAATGCACAACATTGGGGTGTTAGACTCAGACAATTTATGTATTTAGTAAACATTTTAATATCTGGTAAGCAGAACTAATTTGCTACTATTTTTCTTTTATCTACAGGTATGGCCGCCAGAGGGCTTTGGCTCGTTAAGACAATAACAAAAACAACGCAATGTATCGAAGATATACAACTGAAATGTGATTCTTTACAAGTCCTTTGATTATTGTCTTCTTCTGTGAAGATTTAATTTGAATAATGATTGCTAATTCATTGCTTCCGTTCCAATAATAGAAGATCAATGTTAGTAGCTCTTAGTATCATGAATTTGTATAGTTCGTAATGTGTAATTTTTAAAAACTTCTAGATTAAAAGAAACATTCATGTAAATAATCTAAAAGTGCAGAAGGAACCATTCACGTTTTCTAAATACATTTTCTTTAAATATTATATAGTAATTTATATGAAGGATGATAAGGATTTCTGGACTTATTTACCACCACTAGATAGTAGCTGGTATTGGAGGAAACTGCATGCACTTAAAGCTAGTATGGCAAACTGGTATCAAAATGGATCTTATTGCTTAACAACTAATGTGCAGTATTCTGTGTCTAGCAACTACAATGCATTGCCCAAGACATAGGTTCATAGTTTGGTTGGCTAATCAGGACAAACTATTAACAAAGGAGAGACTTAGTAGATTGCAGATTCCAAGTAGTGTTGCTTATGCGAAGGTGCTAAGGTTGAGATCTATTCTCGGAGTGTGGCTGGTCATCATAACTAAAGGCATTACCATAAAAAGGAAAAGAGTGACACAATGGATCAGTGGGAGCCAATGGAGACAATTCCAAAAAGAGCAAACAGCGGTTTGGGGAGCTTTAATCTAGTAGGTGCAAGTTCTTAGTGCAAAGATTGTGTAATTAGAAGAGTGAATGTTTTTTTGTTTCTTCGTTTCTGGAGGCTTGGGATGCGATGCCCTCTTCCTAAAAGATGGTATTGATCTCTCAAGTGCTCTTTAGTGTGTGATCGATTTTAATCGTTGTGGTAATATATTTATAGTTTATTACCACACAAAAAGTAAAAGTATATGAATAGTTTACTTTAAATATTATATTCTAGTATTTACAAGTATAGAAAATAACTATACGACAAGTAAGAGTTCTAAAATACTGTAGGATTAACCAAAGAGTAAATACCTTAAAAAATCCCTAAACTATCACGTTTTTGGTTACCTACTTAAACTATTCAGTGTCCACAAAATCCCCCTAACTATATACCCCTATATAGTAGAGAACCCCTCCTCGATTTTTTAAGGGTGTGTGTGATATACTCTTCTATTTAACTCAGCCTAGTCTAAATATCAACTTAATTAAGAATTTTAACTAATAATAAAAATAATTAAATAGGTAAATATTTGGGGGTTGAAAAACCAAAGTAAGAGGGTGAAGAGATAAACACACGATCATTTGTACCAAAAAAAGAGAGAGAGATCTCTTCCATCTCCTCCGAAATGGTTACACCATGTCCCAATCGCGATTTTCATCATTAAACTTCGATTAAAATTTGAAATTTCCCAATTAACCTTCAATTTCATTGGGAATTTTAGTTTAATACAAGATTTGAGATAAAAAAAATTAGAATTTGTTAAAATTAAGTCCAAGAAGAGTCTGATAAGGCAGCTATACTTCAACCTTCTCGGGGATTACCCAAGAGTTGAGTGGAAGAATCTTGTTTTCAACAATGTAACTCGTCCAAAGGCAAAGTTTATAATGTGGTTGATGATGCACGACAGAGTTCTAACTGCTGATAGGCTGAGTAAATGGGGGATGCATGTCAATACACAATATGCATTGTGCCAGGTATATGAGGAGACACAAGACCATTTCTTTGTGCAATGTGACTATACAAGGACAATCTTGCACAAAATGTGGCAGTGAATAGGGATACAGGGGGTGAACACCATGAACTGGGATGACTTTAGTCGATAGACCATCAAATGTGCTAACAGGAAATCTCAACAGGCTCAAGTCTTTAAATTGGTGTATGCAAAGACCAATTACCACATATGGATTAGGCGGAATCTTAAGATACTTGAACACAAGAGCAAGTGCTAGAATGATGTTGCCAAAGAGATAACCTATGTCTGCTGTACGCGAGCCTCGCTTGGAATTGTCCATCACCTTAGGAGCTTTCCTTTTTGAAGTATCCTGGTAGTTGAGTAAGTGTTATATTGTTTAGACAGTTTTGTTTGTTTCCGGTCTTTAGATAGCTAGCTTTGTTGGCTTAGCTATGGCTTTGTAAATATTAACATTGGTGATTAATACAATTAAATTAGCTACCACAAAAATGGGCTTTTGATGTATTAAATAGTGTTGAAAGAAGAAAACCTAAATGGAGAACAAAGATAATTTTAGAAGAAACAAGAGAAGGAAAAAAAATTCAGATGAGAAAGGAAGAAGAAAGATAAAAAATAAATAAGAAGACTAGAATATAAAGAAAATAGAGGAAAAATAGAAATAAATTTTCTAAAGAGGGTAACACTAATTAACTATTAGACAGGGCTAAGTGGGGATGTTTTTATGTATAATTTTATTTTCTATGCGCCTTTTGACGAGTTATCTTATATATGTCATTAAAAGAATTAACGAGACAATTTTTAATATATAGAGGGATATAGTTAAGGGGTTTTTAGGGATATTGGATAGTTTAAGTAGGTAACTGATAAAAACGTGATAATTTTGGGAGATTTAGGATATTCAATTTTAACCAAAACAAAAGTAAAATAATTTCAGGTAGCAACTTTTAGGGTTGCAAATTGAAATATAACAGGCGTTTGAAAGGTAGTTGAAACTTCAAACTCGAGTTTGAAAACTCTAAGGCGGCTAAACTTTAAAATTTTTGCAAGCTTCAGCTATTCTTTAAATAAGGGTCCCAAAAACAACAATTTGTGCACGAACATAGTACGGGTCGGAAGTGGTGGTTATTTACAGGGGCTTTTGCATCTATACCCAGTTTTGAGGTCACAATTGAACCTATATCCACTTTTCAAAAAAATTTGGAAGCCTACCAACTTTATGATCAACTTCAGACTTATCGGGTCTAAAGTTAAAAAAATTAGTCTGAAGTGAAAAAATTGCACTTCAAATGCACTTAAGGCCAAATAGGTCTGAAGTGCAACCAATGGTTTCATGCACTTAAGACTAATAAGTATGAAGTAAAAATTGCAGTTCAGATGAACTTAAGGCCAAAAAGTTTGAAGTGCAACAAATATTTTCATTCACTTAAGGCCAATAAGTCCGAAATGAAAATTTGCACTTCAGATGCACTTAAAGCCAAATAGGTCTGAAGTGTAACCAATGGTTTCATGCACTGAAAGCCAATACGTCTGAAGTGAAAAATTGCACTTCAGATGCACTTAAGGCCAAAAGGTCTAAATTGCAACAAACGTTTTGTTACACTTAAGGCCAATAAGTCTGAAGTGAAAAATTGCACTTCAGATGCACTTAAGGCCAAAAGGTCTAAATTGCAACAAACGTTTTGTTACACTTAAGGCCAATAAGTCTGAAGTGAAAAATTGCACTTCAGATGCACTTAAGGCCAAAAGGTCTGAAGTGCAACCAATGTTTTTATGCACATAAGGCCAAATAGGCCTGAAGTGCAAATTGCCGAGAAACAAAATTTGTTCTTCGAATTATAACAATCCAATATACGATTTAATACCTAAATCTACTCCAAATAAGCTTGAAACATAACCTCCAAATATCATCAGGAACAAACCCCAATCATCAATTTGTCAAAACAATAATAAATCTAATGAACCCATTTTGCAATTAAAAAAATAAAGCGTCATAACAGCTCACCACTGTAAAACATCATAAACTACCTTAAAATATGTTCACAAACACCATATAAAATCATTGTCACCCGAAGAAGAAGATGATGAAGGAGGAGAAAGATGCCTAAAGTTGTTTAAAAAGTGAGTACAAGTTAAATTTTTTTTAAAAAGTGGGTATAGATTAAATGAGGGTTACCAAATAGGACGCCCGTGCAATTTTTCCTTATTTATGGGTAGAAATTTAAGGCCCAACATGTAAAAGCCCAACTGAAAAGGCTGGGTCTGCCAGAAATAAGTCTATAAGATCACCTTGGAAGCTAGGGTTTAGAAACATTGCCTTTGAGAGAACAGAGCGAGCTTATGAAACAATGGCGCTCTCGTTCCGTTGCGGGCATATACTGATCTCGAGTCATTTCTTCGTCTCTGCAATTGATGAATTTCATCTTTTGCATCCGTAGAAAGGTCTCACATTTGCTCTTATGTTTATTTCTCTCGTTTTTACTTTTCTGTTTAGTGTTTTAAATGGCCGATCCAATGGGTTCTCGCGTAATAATAAAGATGTGTGGGAGCTCAATTTCACCCGGCCGATATGTATATTTAGGGCAGCCTCCTCAAGGTTTTGCACGTCTGTTCATCGTGTTTTAATGCACGGATTCTGCCCTACATTTTAACTCCGTCTTTTTAAAACTCTCATTGGCTTTCGGATATTGAAATGTCTTTTAAGTGATTTAGAATTGTGATTGAGTAATTCGATTAAGCTTCAAACTTGAAGGTTTTTGTTTTGTCTACCATTAGTAATAAGTAATGGTAGGTTAATCAGTAGTGATAAATTTTGCTCCAACGCAATCTCGTCTAGTTTTTGTTTTTGGCTACACAATTATTTTTAACTGCTTAAACTTCAAACTTGAAGGTTCTTTTTAAGTTGAAGTTTCAAAAGATGAAATGCCAGACCACGTTGTTTATCTATTTGATATTGTAGCGTTTGCTTTCAATAGTACGTGAAAGAGATAAAAATACAGCTAACATGAGTAATTTAATTCATATAAATCGGAAAATCCTTGTCATGGCCATTTTAGCAATCATCATTGCTAGTGACGTCCTATGCTATTTCACGACCTGCTCCGTTGCCTCTTCCAGAGCAATTCTTTTCGTTTAATTTATTCGCATCCTCATCCATGTGTCAAATTGGTTGGAGGTGGTGGGGATTGAATTGAAAATTTGAATGGGTTAGATTGAGTCAAGAAATAAATAATGAAATGGAAAAAATGTCGGACTTAAATTTCATGAGATGGACTAACTTGCCATGTGTTGGTTTTCTATTAATCAATACATTCCGACCTTAACTCAGTTGGTAGAGCGGAGGACTGTAGTGTGTTTGCTGAAATCCTTAGGTCGCTGGTTCGAATCCGGCAGGTCGGAACTTTTTGTCCTTTTTATTAGGTCATAAAAGTCTCAAAATCATTATAGTATTATTTTATGTCCTAAGCTTTCTCCTGATAATAGAATCATCCCCAGCCGACGCACACTATTAATTCTTTTGTAACATTATTGATGAGTTGTGCGTATTGTAACTCTTCATCAATTCTACAGGAGAA